AAATTTATACAAAATACAGTATAATGATAATATATTTGTATTTGATAAGAAATATAGGCTACACAACTTTAACTATTTAACTTTATACGAGTCCCCTGTTAATATCATGATCTTATTGCCTTAAAATGTGATTTAAAACTTAGCTAAATATGCCTGAAGTTCTAAATATTATTGATATTGCTCTAAATTTTATGGCAATAAGATCATGATCTTTGCTGGGGATCAAAAGGCGCTGAATGCCAGGAATGAAAATGAACATGACTTAAAAATACAGAACAAACCTTTATTCGTAATGTCTTCCTTTTGATACTCGCTGTATTAAAAATGGCTGAGTGTGTTTACTTTGTTACACAAAAAGGGCAAACAATGAACCTAACATCCTACAATTTAAAACTGAACAGATGCAGCAAGACTCTAAAAAGATGACAGGAATAAAAATGCGAGAATGAATACTTCTCATAGTAATTCATATAGTGTCCATTCGAGTGAATGAAGATCCTGTGCAAATGAAACATTCAGTTCCAGAACCCGCAGCAGTTATTTACACTGAAGATCTCCGTCAAGAGCTGCAGTGGAGCGACTGAGGAAACGTGTGAAAGAGTTGGCCGTCCATCAAAGGCTTTGTTTGGGACCATTATGCTGCATCCGACAATGACATAAGCTTCTACTTAAAAGTTAATGTATTATCCATTAATCAGTACTTGTTTTTATGCTTGTCCAATGAGTTTGAGATATCTTAATTAACATTTGAGCCTGCAGTAAACTCTCAAGTGTCAGATTTAAAAAGAAGAACCCTTGTTTGCTTATGATCTAGGCTAATTTATCATGTACAACCATTTATTGACCTTCTGGAAACTCATTGAATCTTCATGCTCGTTCATGCTTTTCACATTGGACTGTGTAATATAATTTCAACTTGATCTTTATCAGCAATCAATATGTTTTTAACATTTCAAAACACATTCTCATGTTAGCAGACAGATTGCACTTTCACATGTGACCAACAATTCCTCAACAAATATAAAATATCATAATGAAATATTATCAAAATATTCATCTGACGGGGGTGACAGACCTGACAAGAGTTGACAAATCTGACGGTGGTGACGAAAACCTAGTCATTTTCTAATACATTGAATCAATCCGTTACTGTATTAAAACAAAAACAACAAGTGAGTATGTTATTGTTTATAAAAGATTCACATTTAAGTATTTTGATATATATTTGGAACACAAATGATCTATTTTCTCTCATCTCAGAACAGTATGTCTGCTGTGCATCTGCTATGCTAACACTAACACGGTAACTTTTAAAAACAGTTATATGAACAAATAAAACAATTAGTTGTTACCTCTATCCATTTACTTTTGTCCATTTTATTTTGTCCATCGCCTTTTTTATTAAATGAAAAAGACAAAATATTTCTAAGTGACTAATTTATTTAGACACCAAAGTACTTCAGCTCTTTCAATTCTGATCTGTATGTCTCTAATATGCATGCAATTTTGTTTGACCTGATGATTTAGCTTTAGGGCCTTTTCATGCACACGTTATTCTTTGAAAATGTTGAATTATTGTTTTTGGACAAAAATACATTGAATTTTGAGGTCATGTATTGCAATAAATGAGATGACAATTAAATGACAAAATGAAGTCTCATACATTTTTTTATTTTTATTTTGCACAAATAATGTTTTATTTGTGGTCTAAGCCACTTTTGGAGCCCGCTTCACCCCTTCATGGGCTGATTCTTCTTTTGATCTCCTGTAAAGGTAAATGAGGACAGAATTAGGCCTTCTGTCGCCCAGCAGAGGAAGAGGTGGAACAAAGGACTTCAGTTTCTTTAAGGGGGAATGCCGCATGGTCCGCTTCGGAGCCCCAATCTCTGGCACATGTGCATTTTTGTTTGTAGTGTCACTTTTGTTTTGCTCCTTAATCTCCTGGTGCAACTCATCTTGCTCCTCCTGCAACCATGTGCTCACATCTTCTGGGAGTTTAAAACCGGTGTTTTGACCTTTCTTCACTTTCTTTGACTGCTCTGTGGGAAAAGCATTGCTCTTTTCACAGAGGCTCTGATCTTTTTTACCATCTTCCTCGCTCTTTAGCTCCTGTACAGAAGTAGCATTCATCTGGAGATCATCTACAGAAGAATCTTTCATCTGACGATCATCTACAGAAGAACTGTTCGTCTGGAGATCCACTACAGAAGAAGCATTTTGCTGTAGGAACTTTTGTCTGTTCTGCAGGTTTTGGCTCTGGGGCACAGCTCTTCGAATCAAGCTGGCCCCTGTCTTTGTCTCCTCGGACTTATTTTGAAGTGATGTCAAGCTTGCTGTTATGTTTGTCTCCTCAGTCACACTTTCTATAACATTTTCCAAACTGATTTCGCCTTCTTCGTTGGTCTGTTGCTCTTCTTTAAGAGGACAATACTTTTCGAGAAAAGAGTTTAACTGTCGCCTTTGTTTTGCCGAACGGAGAGTTGCGTCTTCTATTTGTGCCATTATTTGGAGCCCCATGTTGGCGAAATGACTACTGAACTTTGGATACGGAGCCAAGCTCCTGACGACAGAGTTGGGGATATAGCCATCAGGAGCAACGGGCCAGATTATTTTCTCCAGACGGGTCCACTGCTTTCTAACGTCGGACATCTTGTTTGTGTCCGGCAGTTTAATAGAGGTACGAGGAGCGTGTTTTCCTGTCTCCGATGTCATCTTGAAATGCGAGTTAAATCCGTCTGCAAGGAACGGCTAGCAAATAATCGCCAGCTACAGTAGCCTACATCCTTGAAAATGTGCGAGCGAATAATAGCGCGGAAAACCAGCGAAGAATCCAGAACAGTCTCATATTTACGCGATTATGACGCCATCGCACTGAGATGTCAAACATTCCAAGCGTTTAAATCTTTAAAAGTAAACAACACGGTAGGACATTCTTGAGCACGCATTAGTAGACTATTGAAATGTTTTAACAAAGAGTGGAACATGTTTTAAAATGTAACAAAACCGCCAGAAGCAAATAAAACCACCACCAATTATATAGTAGCCTAGGCCTATGGTATATTATAGTTCCAACTTCACAAAGAGATAAAAACATCATCCACACACCGTAAAAGTTATACATATTTCATGCAGTTTTAGAGCTCCGTTGAAAGTCACTGACACACAATTCAATCAGAAATATTTTGGTGTTGCCGACTTTGCATCTAAAATATTTCTACTTGTTTTTTGGTCGAGCACCCAGTTGAGATCGATGTGCGTGCTTTTGCCTGCTCTTCACACAATTCAATCAACAATTTATATTTAGGCTATATCAATTTTTTAAACCAAGAAAGACTTCTGAATAAATATTTGTACGTGATAGTTAACTGTCATCACTACTTTTTTTTTTTTTTTTTTGGAATTTTGAACAGAAT